CCGATATGTGGGAGACCGGTGTAGAGACTCATGCCTCTCATGGCGTGATATGGCAGTTTCCACTAAGGGAGTATACAGCACCAACTCGCAGCACCACTCTGTGTACTGTCCACAGCAATTCCTATATGAGGCGCAGCTTTCCCGCGCTTCACGATGTATATGCGCGCGCGCGTTCCCGTGCTTGCGCGCCCTATAGCGCCAGCCATCCAGATGCATCCATCCACTGTCCACCAAGCTCCCTAGTGCGTATATTTCCATTTCCTTTATTAGCATAGTGTTCCACCTTTATTTTTATCATGGACTCTCACCCATATATATCCTTACATACCTACTCGGTAGTGCTTCGGCTCTGCATGACCGTGCTTAGGCGCGCTATATAAGCGCCAGCAGTACATACTATTACTGACTTACTTTTCACCTTACCTTACTTTACCTCCCATTTACCTATTACTACTTACTTACTACTTAGCAGAACATAGTAGATCTCTATTCCTTTACATCTAGCACTCACATCTCTTATCTTGCATTATATCATCACTTAAGCTTAGTCTCTATCATTTCCGCATACGCGCGCGCACTTTCCCGCGCTTCGCGCTTATACGCGCGCGTGTTCCCGCGCCTTGCGCACACCTGCGCTTCAGCGCATACCTCTAGATCTTTGCTGCACTCACTTCCCCTTTAGGGTCGAACGCACTTGTCTCCTCAAGTAACGCAGACTAGGCAACACTCGACCTATGTACGACATTTTTAGATACAGTTAGGAGCATCTTTTGTTCCTCTCTGTATTGTAGTTTCTACACCGGGTGGTGCAAATCTCACCGATACCATATGACGATCCATTGGGATTCGGCTTACGTTTGAGGCCCATTCAAGCATGTTTCCGGTGTGTCTATGTGAGGTATATATTCTATCCAGTCTTGATAGCGTCTGGTGATTACTATTGAATGTGAACAGGCGGTGGTGCAGGTGCTCATTGCGCCATATGTCGTGCATGCTCAGTACTGACTTTAGGTCTCTTAGGGCATCTACAGCTGCTTCATTGTTGAGTCTTGCTGGGGCCTGGTCTATTGGGTTCTCAGTTAGATTGAAATCCCCCAACATAAAGTCTAAGGGGCTGGTGTGTGTTCTCTCCCATTCAGTTTTGATCCTTTCCCAGAAGGTATGGTGTTCACTCACATTGTTTGGCACGTATACATTTAGGATCTTGATTGTTTCGTTGTTGTGCCAGTTTATAGATAGATAGCTGCTTGTCCTGGGATTAGGACTTCCATGGTGGCGCTTGAGGCATTGGTGAGTTCTTTGTTTAGGACAAAAGCAACACCAGCTGAGTTGCCAGGGCATGTAGGGTCGCTAGAGTTTAGTATTTTTAGGTGTCGGGAGAATAAGGAGTCCAGCTGGGATTGGTGGTCAGTTGTTAGGTGCGTTTCTTGTACACAGAGTATCCCTATTTTTTGGTCTCTCATAGTTTGGTTCACCATTGTCCATTTGGAGGTGGGGCTTTGTGTCAGGTTGATCGAGGTACGTCCCTTCATATTTAGTGTCGTGATTTTGATGTTCGCTCTCATTTTCTTTTGGTTGCTTATAGTTGTGTTACCTTGGTTGTTTTGGCTGTTTGGGTGAGTCTGGCCAGTTAGTCTATTTTGCGTATGTTTGTCTCTGATCCTTTGACTTAGTTCTAGGGAGTGGTTATGACAGTGTTGGGGTACACTTCTGGTTGGTGTGCTCCTGGTGTGAAGTTGGGGTGTTGATTGCCCATGATGGGTGTTTCCACTTCTGAAAACCCTAGACCGGTCATCAAAGGGCCTCTCAGTGGTTCAAGGAGGACCTCCTCCATGGTTTAGGGAGCAAGAACTGTGACCGACATCAAGGCCATTTATGAGGGGGTTTGGTTGTGAGTTATTGGTGATCATATTACTATTCCTACACTACAATCATTATGTAGAAATAGAATGAGCATATCCTGGCTCATTATCAGTGGACTATGTAAGCATTTTCGACAGGTTGCAGCGCCTTGGTCCCTGGTACCATCTACTAATGAGAACTTAAGCCTCTTGGCACAGCTCGCCCGAACCTAAATAGGTATCCATGGTCTGGTTAGCACCATGCTTGTGTGAGATAACCTCAGCTTTCCTGTCCCATTATTACGGTCAGTATATTTGGGCTGGGGTCTAGTACTTTTGACAGTTCAGATCTCACCTGAACCAGTCTTTTTTCATCAGCAGCTCACATAGTTTTCAGAAAGGACTGTGATTGATGTATGGGGACTAGGGTGAGCTAAGTAGGTGATGGTGATATGAAGCATAAACTGAGGGGAGATAGTGCATAAGTGTTCTTGAGCCTCATCAGGTATGTAAGTCTTTCGTTGCGATATGTACTTATGTGTCCATTCGGACATTCCATCCTGGCCTTCCACCTCTAGCTCTGCCTGATTGCCACAGCATGTTGTTACTGTTTCTATTCCCTACTTTCAGGCCATTCCAATTGGGGGTGAGTGGGAAGGGGCAGAGTCCATGTGGGTGGGCGAGGGAGTGACAAATCTGGCATGCAAATAGGGCCGTTGCTGAGCCGCACCCATCGAGGTTGGTAGAGTACTGTAGGGTGCTCAGGAAGCTTCTGAGGTCTGTCCAAGTCTTTGCGTCATTGGTGGGACTGGTTGCTAGGATGTTGAAATGTGGAACGGATAAGCCACCGGTGATCTTGAAATCGAGAAGCTCGACTCGGGCAGAGGCGATGAAGTCGTTGACGGCTTTATATAATAGCTCATCGTCAGGAAGGCTGCACTTTGAAAATAGCTCCTTAATGTGGTGGTGGTTCTTGTCATCGGACCAGGTGTCCATGACAGCCTGAAGGATGGTTCCCACATCGAGAGTGGTGAAGCCAAAGAGGCAAAAGAGAAGTTCTGGAGGGTGGATGCAATTGAAAGGAAGGGCTTCAAAGGTAAGATCTGTGGTAGACCATACGCATTGGTTTAGCAGTAGGTTCTTGGTGTCTTCGGACACTCTATGTACTAAGAAACCTGTTGGAAAGTTCTTTGCTCCTTTGCCACCATGAGGCTGTGGGGGGGAGACACGGATTGGGGGGGGGGGGGGTGTCTTGGTGAATGAATTCCACAATGGGAGATGTTTGCACAGATATGTTCTGCTATAATAGTGGCTTGTTCAGCTACATCTTTTCCAGAGTGGTCAAACACTTGGACCATGAACTTAGGATGCTCTACTTGGAACCACGCTAGTAAGACTTTGTTGTTGAGATGGTCAAAGATCTGGGCAGAGTGCGATTTATGCACTGTCGGGAATCTCCCGTTTGGGATTGGGGTGAACTGGGGAAGGGCTGCACAGTGGTTTGAGCTGTTCTGGCTCAGAACAGATCTGTTTGTGTCTGCTAGGGCCAGGTGCACTAAAATGGCCTGTTGTTTGGCAGTAGGTTCATGTTTAACAGTAGGACTTATAGGGATGCCCATGTTTTGATCTTCTGTGGGGTTACTGGGAGTGTGGATGGAATTTGCAAGTCCATATTTTGGGGGGTCAACGTTGTCGGCTTTGGACTCTTTGATACTAAATTCCTGATAGATGAGTAGGTTAGGATGGAGGGGGTGAGTGCGGTCTGTATTGAATGTGGGGGTAGGCGTGTCAGGGGGGGATCTAGGGGAGTGCAGGTTTGTGGGGGATAGAGGGTCAGGTAAATAGGGTATTAGGTCCATGGTGCATTCCAAGTCATCATTGTCCTGGATGACGTTGGGGGGAAATACTTTGGTCCAGACTGAGAAGTCTGAGACGTTGGACAAGGTGTGTTTGGGTATGGGCATGTGGCCTGGGATATGGCCTTGAGGGAGGTGATTTCCTTGTCTTTCATCTTGGTTGGACAAGGGATATGGGTTTGAGATGATAGGGATTTATACTGTTTCGTCAGGCAACGTCTTTTTGTGTTTAGTTAGTTTGGGCTGTTTGGTGGGGGCAGCATGGCCGGGTTCATCTCAGTCTTGATATTAGTTGTGGCCTATCGCAACTCATCTTTGGGTGTGATTTCTCAAGGGACATGTGTTTAGCAGTGGGGCAGGTCGGTGCAGTGTCAGTTTTTTACGTTTGGACATGTGGTGGCATATCGGTTTTGTAATTTGGCATGTCTTAGACACCTGTATCGTTCATATGTGTCGTTTTAGCAGCTTCTAGTCTTGTATGTGGGTGTTTTGTGAATCATTTGGGGTGAATGAGTCGGTACTGGGTGTTGTTGCATTGGGAGTTCTTTAGAAAGGGATTATTGTTTCAGGTTTATAAGGTCATTTACATATTTTAATGGCCAGTTGGTGCTGTGAGCTGTGACAGCTTGACCTTGCCCCGCAATTTCATGCATGGGAATATTTGACCATGGTGGTGGTACAAGATCAAGGGCCCCCCGATGGTGCTTCTTGCGAGGCATGGATCTATGAGAAGAACTATTATGATGGAAAAGAGTAGTCTAAGTAGTTCCTTACCAACTTCAAGGCGAGATTCTACTATGTAGTACATGTCACTTAAACACTCACATCGTGCATTGAGAATTGATGTGCACATGTGGGAGTAGTATGTTCAGAGCCGCAAGTCATTGCATTGTTGAAAAGGAGAATGAGCATGATTGCCATGGCACAGGTCTGATGACTCATATTGACATATTATTTTCACCTTTCTCGAGCTTGAATACTTTGGAGACTGCGCTGGTGTTGTCCTGGATATGAGATAGCAATTCAGGACCATCATCTCAAAATCCAACTTTACGAAAATGTAGTCTAAAACTCGTTGCAAGACTTTTCTGACAGTTTCTGTTTTGGTTAGACTACAATTCAGTTCGTAAATACCTGGTTTTGGTTATGTGAGGACCCTGACTTAAGTTTCACAAAATTTAGTGCGAGATTTGAAGACGATGTGATATTATCAATGCAATGCGAGATTATCAGTGTGATATGTGCATTATCTAGTCATACAAAGATTGAAACCATTTGAAACCAGCATAAAAGTAAAATGTATCTATGAGGACGGTGCTTGTGTTGGTCCAATTAGCAACACATACAGCAAAAACCTACAAAATTCTGCCTTCTCATCGTCCATCAAGTCATCCATCGCTTTCACAATAGCGAGAAACTTCCAGTTGCCTGACATTCCCCCAAAGGGATCAACCTGCACGGGAACCTCAGATTGTTCATCCAAGCTGCAGAAAGTCGCAGCGCCAGAGAGTGCCCAGATGTATTTCAACCTTTCCAGTTGTTCTTCCTCCATCTTGCCGAGGAATTGCTGGCACAAGCTGAACCAAATGAATTGAATGATGTTGGACATTATGAAGGGATGTTGGAATTTTGCCTTGATTTCGATCCTACCATCCTGAAAAGATTAAGTTAGTCTCCCACAACAGGTAAAATGAAGCTGTACCTGGTCGAACGTGTAAATGTAAATGTGCATGAACATGAGTCCATTGCCCTCCAATGTAATCTTGTCGATCACTCATTTATGATAGATGACAGGGGGCATGGTACTGTGTAATGGGGGAAACAGTTGATATGTGTGGAAGGCGCCCATACGTGCAAACTCGACTACCTTCCCATGAGTCACTGACAACGTGTTTGCGACCTCACTCTGATGTTTGCTGGTTATGAAGTTTTGGATCATTGCTAAAAGAATGCGTAAGTACGAGTCTAACAGTCCAAGCACAAAACTTACTGTTAGGACCAAAACACTGCAGCAACGAGCCACGAATGACCTTTGTAAGCATAGCTTTCTTCAGGGCTTTGTCGATGGTCATCGCATTCAGGCTAAATAGTTCACGCGTGACAACTTTCATCGCGCCCTTCATCATCTGGCCAATGGTGGCATCAGTGACTATGATATTAGCAGGAGTGGGATCAGTGTGTGTTGACAACATCACAATCTGTGACGTCGAGCTTTCAGTCGTCTGTGGGCGGGTTGTGGGGTAGGGAGCCATTTGTGGTGTTGGTGGCATCGGCCGTTGACCGCCTCGTCTCTTTGCGAGTCTTGCCGGGCCCACCATCTAGATGAAAAGGATAGTATGAGTATTAGATAGATAGAAGAATAAACGACTTACATGCATGACATCTGTTTGAGGGATCTCACCTTGTTGGATGAGTGTTGTATCCAACATGCTTGTGCTGGCCATGCTACCTGTAAGACCCTGAAATGAATCTTGCGAGTAGTGTTTGGGATATGAGCCCTGTGAGGGTGCTTCTAAGGATGGTTGGTTCTGAACGAAGTCCCAGGTGGACTGATCGTTGAAGCCGGCGCTCTGCGTGCTGCTGTAAGAGTGCCCATGTTGGGCTGTGAAACATTAAGCAAAGAGTGACGAAAGGAAAAACATAAGAACTTACAGGTAGATTGATCATTGAAGCCAGTGCTCTGTGTGCCGCTGTAGTGCCCATGTTGGGCTGTGAAACATTAAGCAAAGAGTGATGAAAGGAAAAACATAAGAACTTACAGGTAGATTGATCATCGAAGCCGGTGCTCTGTGTGCTGCTGTAAGAGTGCCCATGTTGGGCTGTGAAACGTTAAGCAAAGAGTGACGAAAGGAAAAACATAAGAACTTACAGGTAGATTGATCATCGAAGCCAGCGCTCTGTGTGCCACTGTAGTGCCCATGTTGGGCTGTGAAATGTTAAGCAAAGAGTGACGAAAGGAAAACATAAGAACTTACAGGTAGATTGATCATCGAAGCCAGTGCTCTGTGTGCCGCTGTAGTGCCCATGTTGGGCTGTGAAACATTAAGCAAAGAGTGACAAAAGATATAAGAAACTTACAAATGGTCTCGTGTGCATCGAACGCGAAATATGACATCTGTGGTTGTTCAGTAGGAATGCGAAGTTGATCGATTGCTGGTTCGCCCGAAGGATTGAGGCCAGAGCCTCGCGGTGGTTTTGGGACTTTGGCTTTACTCTTTTGCTGGGGACCATGACTGCTAGGCATTCAAGGTTGGGGGGTAAGGATGTGAGAACGTATGCGTGCATTTAACTTCCGAATTGATGTAATAGTACATACAAGGGAACTTTACACGAACTTTACAAAACTGGGAATACGTGGCAGGATGATAAGGTGATTTACGAACAAGGCAAAACATTTACTACCAAAAGGTAAAAAGAGGGTAGGGGTGTGGCATGATAAGACGATCTATGAATGGGAGAAAAAGATGTATGAACGGCTGGGGCAGGCGAAGCACAATATTGAATGGTCGAAGTGTGTTTATGAACGGTCGAAGCCGGTTATGAGCAGGTGAAAAATGGGTGAAGCAAAGCGGTACCAGTTGATAGTGATCTATTAACAGTGACTTGATTGTCACTGATATCGATCAGTGTGAGCAGCGTGAATAAGTGGGCAGTCACAACTGTATGCCGGATGAGCACTGCTGGCCCAGCTGCCCGCCGTGATCATCATCATCTTCTCCATGTTCGGAATCGGAATCGGAATCAGAGTCCATACATCAGGAAATGTGTACTCTGCAATTATGGAAGAAAGTACTGTATTATGATCCAAAATGGTCCATTATAGCTATGTATGCCAGAATGACAGTTATGGCTAGAATGACAAGGTGCCAATCTTAACAGCAATTATAGACCTAACTTTTTCCTTTTTTGTCATTATGGATCATTATGGCCATTATGGAGGGGTCAAATTTTTTTCAAAACCTTGTCATTCTAGTCATTCTAGATCACAGAACACCAAACATGCTAAAATCAAGTTATATTTCAAGTATCTAATACAATGAATATACACTACTAACTACATATATAAGAGAGGGAGGAATGAGAGCAGAAAGAGGGTCAGAGAGGGAAGAAGAAGAGAAAAAGACTCACCAAATAGTCAAAAATGCGAAAATAAGGAGCTAGAAGGAGTGTCAGAGAGGGAAGAAGAAGAGAAAAGACTCACCAAATACTCAAAAATGCGAAAATGGTTGAGTGAGAGGAGGAGGAGGAGGGAAGGAAGAAGGAGCTAGAAGGAGAGGGTCAGAGAGGGAAGAGGAAGAAGAGAGAAAGACTTACCAAATGCCTAAAAATGCGAAAATTATTGAGTGGTGGGAGGAGGAGGAGGAGGGAAGGAAGAAGGAGCTAGAAGGAGAGGGTCAGAGAGGCAAGGAAAAGAAGAAAAAAAGACTTACCAAATACTCAAAAATGCGAAAATTATTGAGTAGAAGGAGAATGAGGAGGGAAAGGAAGGAAAAGATAGGAAAAGACTTGTGGTTGACCGCACTTTTGCTTATATAAGCTGTGCCAAACAAAGCCACATCACAAGACTTACACATCGGGGTGAACGAGATTTAAAAGAGGTTTATATGTTGTACAAAATGTGAAGACAATATTTAATATTTAAACTAACATAAAGATGGGTGCACGACTTCAAATTTTGGTGGTGTTTTGTGTGTAATCCAAAATATCAAATATTCACAACCATATTCCCACAGACAATATGTCAACAAACATAAGAAATATAATCAGATTTTTCATGTCTGCTTCAACTTAAAGTTCAATTTCCATGTAAAACTTTGGAGAAAACTTGAAGTTTTACAGATGACATGACATTAAAACTCGATTTAAATGTCAAGCTTTGGCAAAACTTCAAGTTTTCTCCAAAGTTTTATGTAAGAATCAAACTTTAAATTGAAGCAGACATGGAAAATCTGATTATATTTCTTATATTTGTTGACATATTGTCTGTGGGAATATGGTTGTGAATATTTGATATTTTGGATTACACACAAAACACCACCAAAATTTGAAGTCGTGCACCCATCTTTATGTTAGTTTAAATATCAAATATTGTTTTCACATTTTGTACAACATATAAACCTCTTTTAAATCTCGTTCACCCCGATGTGTTAGTGAATTTTGACTTGGTGAATTTTCGCATTTTGCTTACTTGACTGTGGGAACATTTTCCGATGAAAATCAAAGTTATAGCCCTTGTCAAGGAAAGTCTATCCATAGTCTTATGATATCAATAGGTCAAGATCTTAGTGAGTTATAAGGAAAATACTCGAAAATGGATGGTTCAAGAAAGCACCTTGACCATGGGAACTTTTCCGATGAAAATCAAAGTTGTACTATCACTTACTACACCTCTGTGATGGTCCACTATTTCGTGATTTTTGTCTACAGCGCTCAATTTAAAAGTCATTATTTAGCTACTTCACTGAGTATACTCTACACACTATACTAGTGTATTCCAAGTGGAATGAAATAAATCCATTGAGAAATGATGGAGATTGTGTTTTCAGCGTGACAGCAGCAAAAATCACGGATTGGTGTCACCCAGGTTGCCATGGCTGCTGATGTTGGACATTAAATTTAACAGCACATTTTGTTGCAGCTGCAATCCAGAGCGCTGAGCTGGGCTCAATCACTACGCCGTCGCCATGGGACATTACCGAGGCAAGCTGGTGGCATCTACCAACCCCGAGTATGAGTCCAGGATCCAGGCTGCACTTGTGGGTATTGCAAATGGCACCCACAAGAATATCACAGTAGCTGCAAGGGTACACAAGGTATGATCATGTATTTTTCGAGTCTTTTGCAGACTTAATTTCATTGGACAGGTTGCATGGCAGACTCTTAAAGACCAGAGTACAGGTCTGCACATGTCTCGCAGGGATTTTGCTGAGTCACGGCAGCTCCTCCAGCCATCTGAAGAGGAGGCTGTCAAGGATTGGCTAGCTCACAAATCTGGTGCTGTGCACCCTGTGCACCCTCGTGATTTACGTTCTCAGGTCAATGAGATTAGTGGAAGAATTCCTGGCAAGCATTGGCATCGTCGTTACCTCGCTCGTCACAAGAAGTCTATTTCTACTCACAAGCCACGGAATCTCAATCCAAAACGTGCTCAGAACTTCAATAAAACAACTGTCGAAGGATACTTCAAGCTTCGTGGCGAACTTGATCAGAAGTATGATGGTATTCCTGCAGCACATAATTGGAATATGGATGAGAAGGGTAATCAGATGGGAGGTGGTCAGAATGGTGATGGGTCGAAATTTATCTTTGCAACCGAGGATCGTGATTTCTATCATCAACATAGTGATAATCTAGAATTTGTGATGATTTTGGAATGTGCAAATGCAGCTGGTGCAACTATGTCACTGTACTTTGTTTTGAAAGAAGGTCCTTTACCTGATGGCACAGACTTGAGAAGGCATGGGAGGGTAAGTTGTTTGCTTTACTAGTATGATGTGTAGGTTTTTGAAAGCTAATTAACTCATCAGTGTCACGACATCACCAACAGGCTGGACCGATCGGGAGATCTGCGAACATTGGTTTACAACTGTCTTTGTTCCTGAGACAGAGAAGCATCGTGTTGATGAAAAGCCAATCGTTCTCACAATTGATGGGCATGATTCACACGAGACGGTCAAAATTCAACGAGCTGCATATGAGCATAACATCATTATCATTGCCCTTCTGTCAAAAACAACACACAAGCTTCAGCCTCTTGATGTTGGCGTGTTCTCGGCATTGCAATGCAAATGGTCTTCTCACTGTGATATTCGTCTTACTCAGGGAGTGAGGATCACCCATTATAACTTCATTCAAGAATATCTATCCATACGGCACATAATCACACCATCACTAGTCCAGAAAGCATTCAAAAACACGGGCATTCATCCACTCAATCCTAATATTTTTAATGAGTGAGAATTCGCTCCAAGCACTGCTTCTTCAATTATCACACACATGCCATCATCATATCCTGCCGAAATAACGAGCTCTCCGATCATGGCTCCCACAGAAGCAGCAACAAGTGATGTCGAGATGATAGTGGAGGGTGATGAAGAAATGGATTTGGATTATTTGCCTAGCAATGAAGATGAAGCTTCTGATTCAGACTCAGAGTTGGACTTGGAAATTGAAGACCATCCTACAGACAGTCCCACAATGGCCTCAGGGAGCTCACTCACCACTCGCTTGATTTCGGTTGGTTTGCAATCCAAATTTGGACCTGCAAGACTTCCCATGGTCCTGTCATACGATGATGTGATAAACAGCAATCGTGAAGACCTATGGAGGAACATACAGTTCCTGTATGGTCAGAACAAAACACTGTTCAAGCTGTATTCAATGCAGAGTGCACGACTCGCTGCTGCAGAAGCTCACTGCACTCTCACCAGCCATCAAGTTTCGATGCTGAATGAATGGCTGGCAAATAAGACTCAGAAGAAGCGTCAGAAGTTGAAGAAAATTAATGCCCGTTTTGTCACGCACCCGGAACTCAAAGAAGCATTCGAGGCTGAAGAAATAGAGCGCACCGAGAAGGAGAAGGTTGATGCAGAGAAAGCTGCGCAGAAAAAAGCTGAAAATGATCTTCGGCTCTCGCGCATTGAGGAAGACATCAAAACGAAGGTATTCGATGGCTCGCTATCATCATACAAGCGCAAGGATGACCTCATCATTATTGCCGGCGCTCTTTCGCTACCCAGAGATAGGACAATGATTGAATTGACAGCTCGAATTAAGGATTTTCTTGCAGGAAATCCTGAATGTGCAAGTCAGCCAAGATTTGTGGGACTTCTTGGGGGCAAACGAGCGAGTGCCGTTACAGCGTCGGCAGCTTCAAATTTGAGTCAACCACAGAATTTTTCAACTCAACCCCCACATCCAAATCACAAACTTTACAATCCACCTACTACTATGTATCAATACCTACATCCACACACTGCATTCCCAAGTCCTCAGCATCATTTTACACAGCATTAATTCTTTCATTTAATGGTTCTATATTCTAATCTTCCGTACATACTATCATAGCTCTGACTCAATACTAGTAGCGTCCTTGCTCATGAACCTAATGTCTGCCGATCGGACTGTCAATTCGGCCAATGTGACTCACTGTTACTATTCATGACATATTGTGACTCATGAAATAATGGACCATCACGGAGGTGTAGTAAGTGATAGTAGCCATTATCAAGGAAAGTCTATCCATGGTCTTATGACATCAATAGGTTAAGATCCTAGTGAGTTATAAGCAAAATACTCAAAAGTGGATGGTTCAAGAAAGCACTTTGACCATGTGAGATTTTCGCATTTTTGCTTATTTGGTTTAGGATTGCAATGGTAAGGATCACATAGTACACCCTTCATCAATATCTGTTCTTGGAGATTTGTATGAAGTGTTTTATGATTGTCATAATTGTCATAACTGTCATAACTGTCATAATGGCCATAATGGCTACAAATAACCTGTTATTGCATAGACCCTTTTTCCTGATGTATCAGTACCAGTGTCCGTACAACCACCCCCCAGCGCATGTGTAATGCTGTCCCTATTTTTAAGAGTACCAACAAAACGAGGTAGGTAGGGGCCCTTGCCAGTAAATGCCAGTAATTCATGCCTGGCACCTGGACCCAGGCATCTTGAGACAAAGTCTGCTTGGGCAGTGATGGCGCGAAGCATTTCGCACTCATCGTCATAGATGGCTTGAGGGTAATTTGTGTCATCGTCAGTTTCTGTGTGACGGCACTCAGAAAAGAAATTTCTGATCTTCTTCAGCTGCTCATCCTTCATATTGAGGCAGGCTCTGTTCTCCTGGTGGAGCGCCTGATTTAAGGCTGTCATACGCTCTGCACACTCAACCTGCCATAGGGATGTTGCCACTTGAAGGTGAGTAACCTCGTGGCTAGCAAGTACTGCCTTAAAGGCTTTGTACAACATGTCAACGTTCATCTGCGAGAGACCATTAGATATTATGTCCTCGTGCTTTTAAATGTATCATGTAAGAATAGACTGAGACAAAGAAAATGACAAATACCTCTTAAGTTGTTCAGTGGTAAAGTCTGGTTCACATCCTTGTCCTGTGATGCGGGTTGTCAATCAAATATTGAGTGGAAGTTGCCTAGAAGGATATGGAATAGGCCTCTTGGATGATCTCTCATGCAAGTGTGCTACCCGGGAAGGTGACTTTGGTGATTGAAAGAGGTCAGGCTTGTACAATAAGCTCTCCTTTACATTGGGAAGACATGGGATCTCTTCCACTGGGGATAGGTAAGCCTTTGGAGAACCTGAAAGGGAGGGGGATAGCATGGGAGAAAATGAACAGTCAGAGCCAGATAAGAGCTTAGTAGCCATTGTATGGGGTGACTCAGGGTAGTTGACCTTCTTGAAAAATTTCAAGGGGGTTAATTCAACATGTGTTGCACTACTTGATGTAGTACTGGTAAAAGCAGGACTGCTTGGTCGAGGAGGAGATGAGACTGTTGATGAAGATGCAAACTCCATTGGCTCGGCATGATGACTGTGCGCTGTGAAATATGAGGTCCTTGGAGTTTGAATCCTAGCCTTGTGCAATCCTGCAAGTCTGCCAATGTCTGGCACGCTTGAGTCAAAGCCAAGTCTACGCTATAATGTAAGTACTCCCATTGCTCACTTCAAGATACCGCACATACCTTTGGCAGGCTATGTTCCAACTGCAAATTGGGGGAATATTCATCCATTGAGGCACTTATTTCACATCTCAATGCTCTATCTACTTGCTGGCCTTCCAATACATGACCACAAGCTTTACCTGTCCCTTCTATATTCAATCAAGGTGGTCAGACACACATCACTGGTACCTGCTACCCACAATCTGGATATGTCTATGGGATTGGTAGAAACATGCTGGATAAGTTGGAAGATGATTAATTTGTGCATCGGCAGTCGATAAATCCTTATTGCCCTTTCACTGACCAAGGTGAATGGGAATTGGGGAAATTCTTGGTCAAAAACCTTACCCAAACCCAAATTATGAAGTTCTTGAAGTTGAAATGGGTAATGAGAAACAATGATATAAGCTGTACTCCCAACTCTGATCTTGATTTCACAGTTTGACACTCCGAATCGTGCAAGACCATCTTTTACCACAAAGGATCACCTCCTAGACTGGATGGACTCGCTCCCTTCTTTTACCCCATGGAAAGTCTCCAAGTCAGAGTTCAAAGGCTATAAGACTGTCCATCCCATGGAGCTTGTTTGGCGTGATGCACTGCAGGTTGTCCAGCAACTCTTTAGTGACCCAATGTTTGCTAACCACATGACCTTTAACCCCTATGTCACCAACATCAAAAATCAGTGCAAATATGGGGATTACATGAGTGCCGATATGGCATGGAAAATCCAGGTTTTTTGCCCTGTTAATCTACGCCTCACTGAGTAATAGACTGATTTCTTTATTTCTAGGACTATCTCCTGTTGGGTGCAACTCAAGTCCCAATTATCTTGGGATCGGATAAAACTCCTGTGATGTGACTTGCCGGGGGAATTGAGATGCACCTGGTCTTCGTCACCATCGGTAATATTGATTCCGAGGTCCATTCCAAGGCAACATTACGAGCTTGGTGCTGCGTAGCCTACATTCCGGTTGTGAAGTTCCGCATTCATCAAGAATACCAGTCCATTCTCCAGGCCAGACTATGGCATAAATGCATGGACCTCGTTTTTGCAAACCTCAAGGTCGCAGCAAACAATGGCTGTTTCATGCCTGATCCCTCCCGCTACATTTGCCATGTATTCACGCCACTTGTCACTCACGTGGGCGACCTGCCAGAGGCTACTATGATTGCTGCAGTCAGTAAAAACTCATCCCCACTAACCATGGCAATACAAGCAGATTTCGGTGATGGAATTCTCCACCCCCCTCATACCAGGAGCCACACATTGAAACTCATTGTGGGGATATCCCAAAATGTTGATCCCTGGGATCTGGACAAGTTCCAGAAAGTGGCCAAAGCTGTCAATTTGTCCGGTGTTCACATGCCATACTGGTGTGATTGGAAGTTTGCATGTCCATCAATCTTCCTTGCTGGCAAGGTGCTGCACACATGTCATAAGTTTTTTGCAGATCATCCACTAAAATGGATCAAAGAGGCTCTGGGAGATTATGAGCTTGATACTTGCTTCATGGTCCAGCATAAGCAGGTTGGAACGCGCCATTTCACGAAAGGCATCATGCATGTTAATCAAATGACAGGCCGGGAGCATAGAGACATCCAATGCACTATTGTTGCATCAATTGCAGGGGCCATTCCACCCAGATTCATCCGTGCAATCCATTCACTCGTGGACTTCTTTTACCTCGCACAGAATCCTGTTCACTCACCTCAATATCTTCAGTCATTGGTGCAGGCCCTTTCAGATTTCCACTCTTTCAAGGATGCTATTGTCCAGGTCGAGGCAAGGAAGGGGAAGAAGGGTATCAAAGAAGATTTTTTCATTCTGAAACTCAAGCTTCTCCAAAGTTTTGATGGTACGATTAGGAAATTAGGGACTTTGATGCAGTTCTCTGCAGACATGACAGAGCGATTGCTCATCACACATTGTAAGAACCTTTTTCCGTGGATGTCCCAGCAAATCAAAGATTTTACAGAGCAATGTGTGCGCATTCTCAAACGCCAAGAGTCTATGGAAATTTTTGACCTGTACATGCTATTGACTTCTCATGGGGCATCACTGGTTAACGCCATACATGTCGAAGATGAAGATGTCACTATTGCCAATCCTGCACTCTCCTGGGTTTCCTGTGTTCTCCCTGATGAAGTCAAGTCAATTCATGGTCCCTGACCTGTCCGTAATCACTTTCTCAAAGGTATCCTCTCTGGAGATGTGGTCACTGCTTTTCAACTCAATGTCATGCCTGATTACAAATCGCTATCACTGTCTGACATACGCACGAAATATGCACTCTTTGGCTTTGAGCGTGCACTCACCAAATTCATTTGTTGTTCCCCTTTCTAGTGGTGAAAATTCTTGCTGGGACCCCAAGTATGGGCGCTTCCAGGTATGGCACAAATTCGGGATGCAACTTCACTTGGCCTTCCAGCCATGAGTCATCATGCCAAGTCGCATGGTGCAAGCATACCCACCGAGTGATGATTTTCCCTTTGGAAATTGTGATACTGTTCTTGTGGACACCACAGGCATTGATGGCAAAACCAGTATGTCTTTTATGTGCTTACGTTGTAGCCTACTGATATCATATACAGCAAGTTGCATTGCACAGGTTCGACTCATTTTTCAACTGATGGTTCAACGAGGTTCCAACCTGGAACTACCATTGTGTCTCTCAGACCCACTTCTCTACGTCCAACTTTTCCACTTCATTTCCAGCCCTGATGATCGTCCTGAACTCGCAATGTGGACCGTGGAGTGCACATACACACAGGAGGAAAATGGTAATTGCTGTAGGAAGGGGGCTGTCATACGAGTGACAGACGTGATGCATGCAGTTGAGTTGATACCAGTTTATGGTGAGGCAGTGGCCAATAGTGTGTCCTCTGCGACTTCTTTGGAATGCTATAAGCGTTTTTTCCTGAATAACTTCGCAGACAAGGAGAGTTATCACACATTCAGTACTGAGTTTGTATAGACAGTAGCTTAATCAGTATGCAGCAATTGTATCTATTGCTATCGGCATCTATCATATCACAAATCACATCTTATTAACGGAAAAACAACTGGCTTGAGCTTTATCAGCCAGATATGCATCAGCAAGAGACCCATAATTTTCGCTTGTCAAAAAGAAGTTTGATGCTTACGGTGAGCTTATGGCGCTAGTGATGGAGCAACGCAACTGGTGGAACAAAGTTATCCATAGTAAAATGTAAATCTAATAATGCGGTAGCATCATAATTGTTAAATGGTTCGAAATAATGGTATTATATTGAGTTAATTGTTTAGAGCCACTAGTCTAGGGTTTGGAATGCGAATACTCATTTCGAACCCTAGACTAGGGCCATTTATAATCAGCGATGATGACTGTTGTAAAATTTTGTAATGATTGTGTGTCTCCGTCGTCACTACTAGTAGTAGTATGAGCTACTGATACTGGGTCTATGCGAACTCTGTGCTAAAAATGTATGATAACTTTCCTTATCTGCAAAACTGTTGAGAAAAAACCGGTCATAGCTCTCCAAACTAGTGGCTGAAGAAATCCTCTCGTCTACCTTGTTACCATATTCTGGTATCAATTCGACAGTGTGTGTTACATCTGTCAACAACACGACACCACCACACCTACAATGTCTGCCACATTGGTCTATCATGTATGTGCGCTCCACTGTCCACATCGCAAGTTCAGGATGGTCATTGGGATTAGTGATGAAGTGGAAGAATTGGACGTAGAGGAGTGGACTTGAAAGGTACATTGGTAACACCAAGTCAGAAGCCTGTGGAATCTTTGGCTGAAAGATGAGTCGAACTTGTGCAACACGACTGGCTGAAGATGATCTCAAATTAGATCTGGAACATGAGTGCAAGAATACACTTACTGCTTTGGCCATCACCACCTGTGACATTGATTAGGACAGTATCGCAGTTTCCGAGGGGGAATGCATCACTCGGTGGGTATGCTTGTATCACTCTGCTTGGCACAATGACTCGTGGCTGGAAAGCAGAGTGAAGCTGTAGTCGAAATTGATTCCATGTGCAAAAGTGTCCGTATCCATGGTCCCAGCGGGTATGCTCGCCAGTGGAGAGGGATAATTGATTGATAAACTGAGAGAGTGCATGATTGAAATCAACAAGTGAGTATTTGGCTTCAATAGTGATGGGTGTCAGAGCATTAAAATCCAGTGTCGAGGTCAGATGGAAGGCAGTGAGAGCGTCTCCAGAAAGAATGCCCTTAAGAAAATGATTCCAAACTGGCCGAGGTCCATGGACAGAATGCGTTTCATCAGGGAGTACACGAGAAATCCAGGAAAGTGCTGTATTAATGGTCATCACTTCTTCATCTTCAATGTGTATGGCATTGACAAGTGACGTGCCACAAGAATAGAATAACGCATACAGGTTGAATAATTCCATCGACTCCTGGCGGTTGAGGATCCGTACGCACTGCTCCATAAAATCAGTAGATCACCGGTTTGTGCGCTCAAAGAGATGTTTGCAGTGTGTAATGAGTAAGCGCTGTCATATCAGCTGAAAACTGCATCAATGTGCCCAGTTTCTCGACCATGCCTCTGAAGCTTTGCAATAGCTTGAGTTTCAGTATAAAAAAATTGTCTCTAACACCTTTCTTTCCCCTCCTCGCCTCAGTGTCAACAATAGCATCCTTGAATGAGTTGAAATCCGAAAGTGCTTGTGCCATCGACTGCAGGGAATCAGGAGAATGAACCAGATTTTGAGAAAGGTAGATGAACTCTATGAGGGCACAGATGGAACAAATGAACCTGGGTGGAGCAGCGCCTGCAATTGAAGCAACAATGGTGCATTGAATATCTCGGTGCTTGCGCCCTGTCATTTGGTTGACATGGGTGACACCTTTGGCGAAGTGACATGTTCCCACCCGCTTATGCTGAACCATGAAGTGAGTGTTGAGCTCAGGTTTCCCTACTATCTCCTTGATCCAATTGAGCAGATGGTCCGCAAAAAACTTGATACAGGTTTGCAAAACTTCACCAGTGAGAAAGACAGATGGGTATGCGAATGTCCAATCACGCCAATATGGCATGTGAACTCCAGACAGATGCACCGCTTTTGCTGCCTTCTGGAATTTATCAAGATCCCAAGGATCGACCTCCTTGGAGATCTCATAGATGAGTTGCAGTGTGTGTTGTCCAGTGTGAGGAGGGTAGAGAACTCCATCTCCAAAATTTGCTTGTGTTGCCATAGTTATGAGAGAGGCACTTTTACTGACTGTAGCGATCATGGTAGCCTCTGGAAGGTCACATACGTGAGAGACAAGTGGTGTAAAGACATAACAGATGTATCGGGAAGGATCAGGCATAAAACAACCATCCTTTGCTGCAACCTTGAGGTTGGCGCAGACAAGATCGACACATCTATGCCACAGGCGTGCCTGCAGAATGCTCTGATAATCAGGATGCACACAAAAATTAGCGATGGGCATGTAAGCAATACAGTGCCAAGCTCGTAGTGTAGCCTTGGAGCGAACTTCCGAATCGAGGTTACCAATCGTAATGAAAAGTGGGTGCATCTCAAGCCCTCCAGTGGTGCGCGTCACAGGTGTTTTATCTGATCCCAAGATTATTGGTACTTGTGTAGCACCTACTGTGAGATGGTCCTAAGAATATGAAGTCAATATTTGAACAGTAGACTAACAGATAGAATTGACTTGAATTTTCCATGCCATATCAGCGCTCATATAATCCCCATATTCATGCTGACCCCCAGTATTAACAACATGCGGTTGAAAAGTGATATGGTTAGCAAAAATAGGATCACTGAAGAGCTGTTTGACGACTTCAAAAGCATCACGCCAGATGAGTTGCAAGGGATAAGTCATCTTGTAGCCTGTGAACTCCATGGTCGAGACTTTCCATGGTACAAAAGAGGGGAGCGCATCAATCCAATCACGAAGTTGATCTTTTGAGGTGAAAGATGGTCTTGGGCGGGTGTGAAACTGTAAACATAGAATCAGACCTGTTAAATAGGGCTCCGAGTCTCCTACCCATTTCAGCTTCAAAAACTTGTCGATCTGAGTTTGAGTCAGGTTTTCAACTAGAAACCTTGCTAATTCCCACTCCCCCTCATCGTGGAAAGGATAATAGGTATTTATTTTCCTCCGGTATTCATATTGATCTTCTTGCAACCTATCGAATAGGTTTTTGCCAACATCAAAGACATACCCGGATTGAGGATGATAAGAGCCAGTAGTGGATGATGCAGATGAACGAGAACCTTGCAATCCGGGTGAAATTGGGAATTGTTGTGGGCATGATTCATGTGGCCAGCAGGTAGACTGAGAATCGAGATGCAGAATAACTGCCTCGATGGAAAGGAACTCCTCATTGCAGTTGGGACACAGCCTGGTGTACGTCAGTCTATGTAATGTAATAATAAAGTGATAAAAGATACTCACATCTGCTAAATAGCCAAGTCTTGACTAGGCCCTTCCTTGTGAGCTTTGCTGACGAGTTGCTGGCAGTAACTATGTCTTTGAGACTTCGCAGACTGTGCATTCACAGGGTATCATGCTGATATCAGCCTATAGTATTGGCAGGTTTCATCTATATATCAGTAAGTTCCTTTTATTGTCAAGTTCAAAGTGCATACAGATGTCTTCTCCATCTCACTCTCAGCCCAGTAGTCCTTCCCGAGTCTCATCTCCTCCTCCTCCCAGAAGTTCTCCCAGCCCCCCAAGTCCATCAAATAGCCCCCCATCTTCTCCTCTGTCCAGTGGACATGCTACCACTCCTGAAACGTCTCTTTTTTATTCTAGCTCCAAGTCAGGGAGCTCTCCTAACACTATGAATTCTGACTTGTGTACTTCACCGCTAAGCACAAGGCCAGAAAGGACACCTGGGAGTCCTGCCAAAGAGACGGATAGCATATTTTTTGATCCATCTAGGCCTCTGAACCCTGAATGTGCTGCTTGACGGCAGTTCATACAAGACAGAATGAAGAGGAAGCAGCATCCATATTCTGTATATTCAGCTCCAATCGAGGTTCATTATGCAGCTCGTGTCATGGGACGCAACTGCGATCCATATGTATCATTCGAAACACTTCTCAAGGTACAATACATTTCTTCTACCTAATTATGAAGACTGATTTCTATATTGAATAAGCACTTTGGACTTTTAGAAAATGGCCTCACGCAACTATGTTCCTTGACCTTATACAAAGGGTACAAAGCCAAGCTTGCTGCTCGTGAGACTGCCTGCCAGTGCCTGGTGGTGACCGCATGGGAAATTGAGGAGTCAGAGCGCTTCACTGCATTCCTTGATGCCCTGCATGATGAGAACAAGGAATGACTTGGATTTGCAGACAGGGAGTTGCAGAGTTTTAGGAGCATTTTTTCTGACCATGGCTGCAAGGAGGTTGAGGACGATAGAGATTATCTTCAAGCCATCTATGAAGATGAATGTGAAGTCCTTCGTGTTACCTCAGCCCAAGCTGAACAGATTTCAAAGATCTTGGGTTCATGAACCAAAGATGCGTTTTTGCAATCCGGACCTACAGACTCACGATCCCGGCTCCCTAGCCTTGAGATCCACAACAACAATGACGATCAGATCATTCTGGATAATTCTTTGGACTCGGATTCCAATGAAGAAGAGTGTCTCAGGGCATCAGTGGGGGGTGAGGCGCCCCATGATGAGAACTAGATCAGTGGCTATTCAGGCCCTTCCAATCGTGGTATGTGACACGAATTTTGTATCCACTGCATATGACACTGATCAATCGATAAGAGGACATGTAATAATACATGCTGCTTGTGCCAATGTTTCATTATGATGGCAACCACCCAGATTGTATTGGTTTGTCATTGTGCATGCTTTTCTTTTACATAGCACCCCTTCATCTCACCCTTCTTCAGCGTCTTATCATTGCTTCTTGATGACATATATCTTGTTTAAGTATGTAGTAGAATGTCATGCGGATATTTATCTGTACCCTCCACCCTTACTGCGCCCTCAGTCACCCCAGTCCTGCCAGTGCATGCCTGCAAAATGAGCCAGAGGTAAAACTGCGATACCAAAACCCACTCGCGGGTCCGGTCTAAACCCTTCCCACGTCCCAGCAGACAGTCAGATGCACCTCAGCGATGAACAACCCCATGAGCCGATGCCCAATGCTTTCAATCCACATGAAGGGCTCAATTCATAGTGCATCTTTCTCTCTCTCAACATTCACCAAACACTTATGCCGGTCCATCAAGCACGCAAGCTGGTTATGCGCCCTTCGCCCCTGCTCACGACATAATCGACACTTACGCTGGACCATCAAATGCACACGCTGGACCATCAAGTGCGCAAGCTGGTTATGCACCCTTTGCCCCTCCCTGCTCACGACGTAATCGACACTTATGCTGGACCATCAAACGCATACACTGGACCATCAAGCATGCACACTGATTATGCGCCCTTCGCCCCTGCTCATGATGTCATCGACACTTATGCTGGACCATCAAACACATACGCCGGTCCATCAAGCACGCATGCTGATTATGTGCCCTTTGCCCCTGCTCACGATGTCATCAACACTTACGCTAGACCATCAAATGCTTACAAAGACTATGGTGAGTTGTTTCATCATCAATATGACATTGCAGCTAATGAATCATAAGACTCGTATAGTTTGGGGCACCTCAACGATCTCTCTCACTTCAACACTATGCAGGTGCCTAATCCACACCATATACAACTTCCTCAATTGTTTGATGATGAGGATGAGCTGATGGACCCTCAACATTGTCCTCTCCCCATCACAACGGGTGAAATATCACAATCGCATGTCATACATGTAAGTACCTTTATTTATCTTTTGCATATTTCACTGAAAGTCTGTGGTACAGACAGCAGGCCCCACTCGCTCATCTAACACGCAATGACGCACCCAAAAGCTACCTGCAATTCCGTACATTGCTCATGAGACTGTTGTCTCTGAGACAACACAGGCAGCTGCAGGCCTTGCAGAGGCACCAGACAGCAACCGCCATCTCCAGATTACAGGACCGATGTGCGAGCAGATCTTCAAGCGCTCGAAGGAGCTTGTTGTAGGGATCATGTTTATGGAAGACATGATGGCGTCATCTCCTGCCGACAAAAAATGAATCGTCAAGTCCATGATTTGAAAGGCAATGCCTAAGATTCCCGGCCTTCGTGGTGTGTCAACTTGAAGTTTGTCATTGTTTTCTAACTAATCAACTAATAGGAACTCCCCACTGGGACAACCAAAAGAAGGATCTCTCAAAGATCTGGCACGCGGTACTCGTTATGCGCACAGAGCTCACAACACTTACTTGAGAAGGCGTTGTACTTGCCTATGAACTCCTTCCTCTGCAGGGTAGCTCGATTTCCCCCAAAGCTTTTTGTATTGAGTGTGTGAGACGCCTTGTTCAAGAGAACAGATTTATGCACAAATATTCGTTCAATGCAGTACATTTTTTTTCACTTCAAATCATACACTGACTCGTCAACAGGATGGGATGCTAACGATCCATTCAAAATTCAAAAATCTGTTCATCCTACACCTTGTCACGAGATTGGTATGGAACATGCGCTTCCGACTCGACACTTTACTCGTCTCGCCACACAGGGAGTTACACTATGTGATGGGGGCAGCCGGCACATTCACAAAATGTATACTGTTGGAACAGGGACATGCGATACTTACTGCATCTAAGGTATCATCGGACTCAAATAATTCTACCTTTCAGATGCTCTGCTCGGACATGGGCGGTCTCATGGACGAGGAGAAAGTTGAGTTGGACAGGTGGAAAGATCATATGGTCATTTGTGGGATTTCACAACAGCGCATCGGAAATGAGCTGTCTGATTTTGACTTGAGCCCCGCAGACTTAGACCATGACTCAGACACTGATGCATGACATGTATATTATAAATCACGATACCTGTATACATATATCTTTCTCATATATGTATACCTCGTAAATGCGACTCCTTTTGCCTTGCAAAATTAATTATATTCGACTATCTCAATTACTTAAGCACATCCGGTTGAACTCTGCCTCAATTAAACTAAGACAAGTATTTATGAACACTGTCCTGAGCTATGCCTAATGCGGCTTGTTCAAAACAGGTTTTGAAGCTTGTATCGACTGACTCGAGTTTTTTAGATGCACTTTGTATTAATTTTTCCTTGCATTATGGCTTATCATCCCATTAATATTCTATTGGCAATGCTTTGGCTCCAGATCCTGTCGCTCTGCTGGGACCATGGATATGGACACTTTTGCACATGGAATCAATTTCGACTACAGCTTCACTCTGCTTTCCAGCCACGAGTCATTGTGCCAAGCAGAGTGATACAAGCATACCCACCGAGTGATGCATTCCCCCTCGGAAACTGCGATACTGTCCTAATCAATGTCACAGGTGGTGATGGCCAAAGCAGTAAGTGTATTCTTGCACTCATGTTCCAGATCTAATTTGAGATCATCTTCAGCCAGTCGTGTTGCACAAGTTCGACTCATCTTTCAGCCAAAGATTCCACAGGCTTCTGACTTGGTGTTACCAATGTACCTTTCAAGTCCACTCCTCTACGTCCAATTCTTCCACTTCATCACTAATCCCAATGACCATCCTGAACTTGCGATGTGGACAGTGGAGCGCACATACATGATAGACCAATGTGGCAGACATTGTAGGTGTGGTGGTGTCGTGTTGTTGACAGATGTAACACACACTGTCGAATTGATACCAGAATATGGTAACAAGGTAGACGAGAGGATTTCTTCAGCCACTAGTTTGGAGAGCTATGACCGGTTTTTTCTCAACAGTTTTGCAGATAAGGAAAGTTATCATACATTTAGCACAGAGTTCGCATAGACCCAGTATCAGTAGCTCATACTACTACTAGTAGTGACGACGGAGACACACAATCATTACAAAATTTTACAACAGTCATCATCGCTGATTATAAATGGCCCTAGTCTAGGGTTCGAAATGAGTATTCGCATTCCAAACCCTAGACTAGTGGCTCTAAACAATTAACTCAATATAATACCATTATTTCGAACCATTTAACAATTATGACGCTACCACATTAGTGGCGTTCAAAGTAATTTCCTGAAAACTCGGTAAGCTCAGTAAGCTCCATGAAATGTTGGCAAACTTCGATTAAGAATTCAAAGAAATGTCGACATAAGTGCGGCTTAGATCAGCATCACAGTCGGACCTCAAAATGAGACTTAGTGGTAAAAAATGTGGTCAAACATCATGATGAAATAGCAATAGTTATATACATGTAATGTACACAAAGCTATTCGACGTGATAAGGGTGCAAGACAAAAGGTGCGAGGCAAAGGGCGCAGGATGAAGGTGTGAGACAAAGGGACAGGACGAAGGTGCAGGACGAAGGTGCAGGACGAAGGTGAGAAGTGGATTAAGGCTTGTTGCGGTAGCGGAAGCAGGCACCGTCGCAGTTGCAGTATGTTTTGCGCTTGCAGCAGCAGAGTGCTTGAGAGCAGATGCTGGGGGAGCAGCAGACGAGGGACTCTTCATGCTCCCAGAAGCATGCCGTCCAGCTTTACCAGTCTTCTTAGTGGCAGACATTTGTACAGTTAGTATGGGACAGTTTGTGGGCGTCTTGCTGGAACAGTCCTTGCCATGAGTACGCAGGTGTGATTGAGCATGATATGAGAGTGAGAAGAAACTTGCGGGACCAGGAACAGATCAGGAGTAGATGGCTGTGGTTGCTGCTGCTGACGAGAATCGCTCATGAGAACGTCTTGTTCAGCAGAAGCAGATCTGCCAAGGAGGGACTCGCCCTCAGGTTGGGTGGGGACATTATTACTGTTGCTGTTGCCATCCTCGTTCGTATCGTCTAGTTGCTCGATGGGGCCATCAGCCATTTGGTCGTCTTCACCGTCGTACTCCTCACCTAAAAGTTCATCTAGAGGAAGTTTGATAGTGGGACGGTAAATCCTAAAACCAGTTGCACAGCCCCCGCTAACGCCTTCCCAGTAGCTCATGGGGTTAGATAAGGTGGGGGTAGAGTAGAGTAGAGCAGTTGGGCCGAACGAAGTACTAAAGATGGGAGGGAAGTGGAGTTTTTCTTACAAGGGGTGCAGGACGAAGGTGTGGGGCGCAAACAATGGCGTGCGACGAGGGTGTGCTGTGAGGGTGTGAGACGAAGGTGCAGGCAGTGGATGTCAGGCATGTAGAGTGCTGTCGCTGTGCTCGTCATCAAGCGGAAGAGCCACCAACTAAAATTGAATCTCTGCTTGAAAATGTCGCCATTTCCGGCAACAGTGTCCCCTATCGATGCAGGTGATAAGCTTATCTCTCTCCTGATCCCCAGATGCCTCGTCTCTCTATGCGCAATCAGCTGCTTGAGCAACTGGATGAGGCTGAACTAGCCTTAGCCAAGGCCAGGCTAGAGCGTACTCTCATTACCCTTAATGATCTCTATGATTCCAACTCCTCTGACTCTGAATCTGATTCTGATTCTGATTCTGATCTTGGCCTTGATCTGATGGTCACTCCTCCATCTCCTCTTACCCCACAATTATCCGACCTTTCAGATTCTTCTTCCAGTGATGGATCTGACGGCTTCACTACCCATTACAACCGCCTTCATGATACCATCACAGCTCTTCGTGATGAGGTCACTAGGGCCCGTGTTCTTCATAAACTGGATGCACCTCCTATGCGAGCCCCCCAGATTCAGCTCCTTCATGACTTTGGGCACTCTCGGCACCACCTCTTCTGCAAGAAATTACGCGTTAATCCTGACATCTTCGATGATATCCTCGATCAAATTTCTGATCACCCTATTTTCACTAACCGGTCAAACAACCCTCAACTTCCCATTGCCATTCAACTGGCTATATTTCTCAACCATGCTGGCCATTACGGCAATGCTATCTCACCAGATAATGTGGGCCAATGGGCTGATGTCAGTGTTGGATCGGTAATCAATTGCAGTAACCGTGTGATAATTGCCCTCCTTGATCAGCATGACACATTCATCAATTTCCCTGCTCCTGACTCTGAGGATGCTGAGCGTGCTCGGCAATATGTTGAGGCCAAGTCTTGCCCAGAGTGGAGAAATGGTATTTTTGCAATTGATGGCTCCGCTATTAATTTGTATGAAAAACCTGGTCTTTATGGTGAGGCATTTTATGACAGGAAGTCTAACTATTCCCTCAACTGTCAGGTATTTTTTCTCTCTTATTCTAATGGTTAGAAACTAATGAAAAATTCAGGCAATCATTATGCCCCATAATCTCCTCATTGCCGACTATTCACTTGGTCACCCTGGAAGTACACACAATGCTTATGCCTTCAAATCTACTCATGTTTACCAGGAACACAACACACTTCTTCCTGATGACCATTGGATTTGGGCTGATAGTGCATATCCACTTGAGAAGTGGTGTATTCCACCTTTCAAGAAGCCTCGGAATGGCAGGTTGACAAGGGACCAGAAGACCTTCAATGTTCACCTATCCAGGGTATCTTCTAATTTTTCTGCTGATTTTTTTGGAATTTTTACTGACTTTCATTGATTTTAATTCATCTAGGTCTGTGTCCACGTTGAGCACACATTTGCTGCTTTGAAGGGGCATTTTCAGTCTCTTAAAGAGCTTTGTCACCCTATGCAGACCCAGAAAGACCTCCAGATTACTCTGCATTGGGTTAGGTGTTGCCTTATTCTTCACAACATGATCATCAAATTTGAAGAGAAACGCAACAAACCTACAACCAGATGGGCCATTCAAGAAGGGAAACATACTCTGCATCCAGAATATGAAAGACCAGATGGTAATGAAGTGGTGGGTGATAGCTCATATGCAGGCACTCCTGGTCAAGCACACAGGGCCAGGTTGATGGACCAATTATTTGATAGTCCTCACTCAGATGCTCAGCATAGGCAAGGATAAGTTGAAACAGGTATAGCTTTGACATACAAATGTACTACATACATGCTAGTAAGTAGGTTGTAGGATTATCAAATAGTGGCGAACAAATGACAATATGTAGCAAAAAGAAACGGCGAAAAAAAAACATATGACTAAGTGCGCGCAGGAACATCATGGCTTGTTGATCTTGGCATATTCAATGTGCAAGAGCATCACCTGCCTCTCTAACTCAAGAGCCTTCGCATCCACTTCCCGCAAACGAATCTCCTGGTCCTTGCTCTCCTGCAGCCGTTGATGGATGAGCATGGCGTCCGTGCACTCCTCGCATATGAAATGGTGCTCCTTGTCTTGGCGATTGGCGTTGAGCTTGACCATCAGGCGCTCGTTCTTGAGCTGGTATAAGGCGAGCTTCTCGGAGTGCACACTCTCTAAGTCGTCATTCAACAACTCAACTTGTTCCTGAACCTCCGTTCGGAGACGCTTCTTCACTGACTCCCTGCTGCTCGGTCTCTCGGAGGGCGATGTTTGGGACGTCAGAGATGCCTGCCAAGGGGAGGATGGATTGGACCGTTGCAACGAAGCCTTCGATGAAGAGGTGGGGGAAGAAGCACTCTCGCGCATGATCATGTGATTAACGTGGGACTTGAATGAGCTGCGACTGTCATGGTTGGAGGTGCGGGGAGGGGGTGCCTTGGGAGGCGACGGAGTGGGAGAGGAAGGTAGCTGTCGCTTCTTTCCGTGCACCTTGTTTGATTTGGGCGGGCTGTCCAAATTATACATATTCTCCTCGTCACGACAATCTGTGTCGTCCATACAAAGGTCTCCCATACCATGAGCAAGGGGGCCATCATCGAAAGGTGGGTCATAGTCAGATTCTTGGGGGGCCGGAGAATAATCTTCACGGCCGAATGACCGGCTACTGGGAGGAAGGGGTGTATGGCCAAAGTGGAGGGGGGAGCTTGTTGTGCTGCCTGCACAGTTGCTTGCAGGAGCTTGAGAAAAGCCCCGTTGTGGGGAGGAGCCAGCGGTGGTGCTGTTGGCTCCCTGAGCATATTGAGGGGAGTGGTGTGGTTCCAGGGGGGGTAGCAGGACCACTTCGGGGAAGAGGCACATAAGGCATTTGCACAGGGGAGTCAGCTGGGCTGCCTCCAACACTTGGAGGAGGGCGGGCATAATTCGTTTGTTGGATGTGAGTGTTGTCACCTGCGCGTGAGGTAGAAGGACCCGAGGGACGAACCGTGTAATCGAGCTGCGGGGAACCAGCACTGCCTGTGGCAGGGTTAGGAATGATTATGTTGAGTTGCGGATGGGTGTCTGAAGGAGGGTTCCGCGAACCTCCTGCCAGACAAGTTAGCACATATAGGTCACCGGCGTGGTCAGCACCTGGTTTCGATGAGCTCGTTTTGGCCGAAAACGAGGGGTTGGATCCCCATATCTGGTAGAGGTCATTGTATCATGGAAATTCTTTCTTGATGTTACCTATGAATTTGTTAGTGGTATTGATAAGACATGAGTGGGATACTCACAATGTAAGTTGTCAGACGTCTCCGAGTCAATTGGCATGATGCCCACACCTGTAGACTCAAATTTGGCACAAATATCGCGGAATTTAGTCCGTAGACTTCAGATCATCCAGTTAGCACAGTTGCGATAGACGGAGAAGTACTTATGATGCGATGTGATTGGCCACAGAGTCACGGAACTTGATGGGGTTGGTGGCATACCAACTCCCATACATAGCATCGTCGTGAAAGATTACCTTTGCAATCACACTGTAGATCTCCCCTTTGTCCTTGCCCGATGCACAGCCCAAGTCAGCATGATAGTTGCTGGACTTCTTACTCTCGGTCACAAATAAGATGGCACAGTCTGGCGGATGCTCGGTGAGGAAATCGACGAGCTTGTTGGTGCACATAGGGACGTTATGCCATGAAATCGTGGCTGGTGACGAGTCTTGTATAT